AAGTGAGTAAGTAAAGTGCGTGAATTATAGCGTGTGTTTAAATTAAAGTGACTGTGAAAATTAAGTGTATTACAGAGCTTGTAACGAGAAAGAATAAACTTGTATCGCGGAAGTTTCTCCCAAAGAATTTTTATGGGAAATTATCAAACGAGCAGATACGTAACAAATTGGTGTCAGAGAGTGGGACAGAAAAGAAAAAAAGAAGATGGAAATGAGAAGTGGCAAATCATACTACAGCTTAGCAGATTTGATAGCAGCAATACAAGAACAGCAAAAGAAACAAGAAGAACGAGAATATAAACAAGAAGAAAGATTACAGCAGTGGTTGGAGGAGAAAGAAAATAAACAAGAGTAATTACAGCAGTGATTGGAGGAAAAGAAATAAAACAAGAAGAGCGAGAAATGAAACAAGAAGAGAGATTACAGCAGTGGCAAGAAAACATGCAACAGTGGCAGCTTGAACAGCAAAATAAACGAGAGATTAGAGCAGTTGTTGGAGGAAAAAGAAAAGAAACAAGAAGAGAAATTACAACAGCTGTTAGAGGAAAAGAAAAGAAACAAGAAGAAAGAATACAGCAGTGGTTGGAGGAGAAAGAAAATGAACAAGAACAACAAGAACTGGAACAAGAAGTACATATGGAAAAGCTTAGTAAATTTCAAAGTGAATTAAATACCTTAAAGGATGATTTACTGTCTTTTACACAAGGAGGATATATTAGCCATGGACCTAATCAGCCTCAGACAACAGAAAGCCCCTTCCAGACCCCGCAGCTAAACCCTAATGTGGACATCTTCAATCCTGTCAGAAGTCACATTCCAGACATGAGTGTCAGCAATAGGGGGTGGTCTAGTACGAAGGAAGACACAGGAAATCGATGGAAAGGCACCATGGGAAGCATATAAAGCACAATTTGAGCTCCTGGCAGAAATGAATGGATGGACAGAGGAGCAGAAAGCAGTGTACCTGGCAACGAGCCTGAAGGGACAACCACTGGAAATACTTGGACAGTTGTCAGCAGATGACAGGCACAAATATAAAGCACTGGTAGCTGCTCTAGAACTCAGGTATGGAACTCAAAATCAGTCCAAAGTCTACAGAGTTAGGTTTAGGACTAGAGTCCGTGCTAAAGGGGAGAGCCTGCAAGAGCTGGCACAGGATTTGGAAAGTATGGCACACGAGGTGTTGCTGAGGGATCA